AAATTCTTATGAGTAAAATATCTGTGAAGTATATTCCCATTCATATTTACAATTTTGAGCACTCCAGGGTGATTATGAACATGAAATTATCCAGCCATGGCTTCCTGTTTCACAGGAATATAAATAGGAGGGAAAACGAAGGCCAAATTCAATGAATCGTCCATCACCATGAGAAAAACCCAAGAATATTTTTCTGATGTGCAGCAAAAGATAATTGAGCTTCACATATTAGAATGTGACTTTAAGAAAAGAGCTAGATCAGTGAAAATTCCCATTTCCACCATCAGGGCAATAATTAAGAATTTCCAATCAACAGAAAATGTTACAAATCTGCCTGGAAGAGGACGTGTGTCTATATCGTCCTAAAGATTTTTGAATGGATATTCTGGATAGGTGGATGCAACTGTTTGAATATAAAAATGTCTTGATGGATGCTTCTTACCAACGCAGCTTTAATCACAAGATATTTTGAAGAATGCGGGTAATAAGACAGCTGACGTTAACCATTGACGTACATAGTATGGGGAAGAAAATATGGACGACAACAGCTACTGTCAACATTCTTTCAGCATTCATTCAAAATATGTGACCCTGGCAGAGACGATCCTCCCTATAAGCAAAATACGCAAAGCTGCGTAGGGCCCCCTTGCTCTCAAAGATGATTTAATTTTAGTTTCGTTTTTGAATTTGGCCAGCGGTTATGAAAACATGAATGATCATTTCTTTTAATGCGGTGCGCTGTCACCCTTTATACGTAAAAATCAGTCAAATCATGTAATGTGAATGTCGTACAGTCTTGCTCGAGATTAAAAAAACGAGTTAAAAGCATACCAACACAGTTTTGCGTAGGGCCCAGAAGTCTAGGATCGGCACTGGACCCTGGACCACAAAACCAGTCATAAGTAGCACGGGTAAATTTGTAGCAATAGCCAAAAATACATTGTATGGTACAAATTTATCGATTTTTCTTTTATGCCAAAATCATTAGGATATTAAGTAAAGATCATGTTCCATGAAGATATTTTGTAAATTTCCTACCATAAATATATCAAAAATGTATTATCATTAGTAATATGCATTGCTAAGGACTTCATTTGGACAACTTTAAAGGCGATTTTCTCAAAATTTATTTAAAAAAAAAAATTTTTTTTTTGCACCCTCAGATTCCA